GGATTTAGACTAAGAAGTCAGGAATTGGACTTTCAGGGTGATCATAAAGGAGAGTAAACTACAACGGCATAAACATATGGGCATAATCTTCACTCCTGCTGCATCGAGGTTGTTAAAAGCTGCCTCTCCTGGTACAAGGGGCTCCCATTCTCGTCCAAGACAAGAAGAAGCTCACGTTTCTCCCTGAAGGCTAGAGATGAGCATATCGGTCAAGCATGCGTCTACGGTCCACCCGATTCCAATATCGCCTCACTGCATATCAATCCCGGTATGATCTAACTGATTCTATTTTGTGATTTCTTGATATGTATCTATTGTTGTGATAGCTCAACCTTGCTCCACCAGAATACTGATTCTTCTTTCATCCAAGTATCATCTAATAGAGCAGCTGGGGGACCAGAAGCACCGCCAACAAGCTCCTTATTCTCAACTCCAAACGCGATGGCCTTGGGTGCATCCGATCGATATCTTTCCCAAACTGGCCGATTTGGGTTTGCTCCCTTGACGGCATTTGGATCTCCCGTGATAACAAAACTTACGATGTAGTCATTGGTTGTTTGGGCGGTGAGCTTCAGCGACTCGGATCGATCTGCTACGCTGGGGTCGACAGTCTCATATTTCATGTTGTCTCCATGGCGAGCACCGTCAATAACTCCAGACTCCAGTGCCCATTGGTATAGATATACTGGAGCATCACTTGCGGCAGATGCAAACTCTGCGGTCTGTCGAACTGGCGCAACGTACGCGTAGTTGGCATACGCAGCTTCAACTCGCTTGTACTGAGCTCCCACTCCTTCTCTTGTTTCCTTGTAGTATGAGTTTGCATCCTTGGAAGGGTCTGGGTAGAGATCCTCCAGGGTTTTGATTTCGGATTCGTTCAGGAGAGGGAGAAGCTCGGCAAAGAATGATGTGAATTGCTCAGGTTTGGACATCTGCTTGTCCACATACAAAGAGCCTTCATTTCGGCAGAAGCCCGTCATTATTGGGATCTTGTGCCACTTCCCTGACTTCCATGTTTCCAAGGGTGGTCGGGGAATTGTGTCTCCATCAATGACAGGTTGCCATGCCCATCGGAGAGACGGGTTGTACGCGTCAAAGACCTTTGTCTGGGCGGCTGTAATGGCGTCGTATGACACGCTTCTTAAGAATGGGAGAATTTTATCCTCTGGTGTGTCTTTCGGGCATCCTAATTCTTGGAGGAAGTCTTGGAATTGCTGAGCGTGAATTGGGGCGTCATATGGACGTACGGCTCTCGAGGTCGGTGCGCCGGATTCGATGACGACGCGGTGGTAAAGAGGCGCCTCGCCTTCCTTGAAGTTCATGAGGTGGTGTCCAATCTTCGAAAGTTAGGATTAGTATATCGCATGTAAAATTGGGATTCTCATAACCGAGTGCAACTAACCGAGTGCGCACCAGCCGAAAGGCCAATGAGGGTGACATTGTTTGGGTCGCCACCGAAGCTTTTGACGTTATCTCTCACCCACTCCATCATCACAATCTGATCTTTTAAGCCGAGATTGAGTACCCCTTCCTTCGCAGCGACGGTCGAGGGCAGAAATCCCAAGGCGCCGATGCGGTAGTTGAACGAAACGGCGATGAAAGGCTCCTCGGAGTTAGCAATCATAGATGCAGTATTGTGCATGCTTGCTGTGCCTCGATTGAACGCTCCGCCGTGAATGTAGAGCGCTACAGGAAGCAGAGCATTCTCCTTCACCCCCTGGTGACGGAATACATTGGCAGTGAGGCAGTCTTCGCTATACTCGAGCTTGGGCCCCCCCGCCAACAGAGGCTTCCCGGGCGCTGCTGGGCCATACGCTGAAGCTTCTATTACTGAATCTGGAGAGTCTGGCACCTTTGCTGCGGCTCGGAAGCGTCTGTCGCCGGTCGGTGGAAGACAATATGGGACACCGCGGAATGCATCGACTGCGCGAGGCAGGCCATCTTTCAGGGTGAGACCGACAACAAGGCCCTGCGGTAGCTGGACCTTGGGACGATCACTGGCTTGGTCGCTCATGATGACTGAAGAAACTGGGGGCTCAGTACGGTAAAGAGCGTGAAATATGGTGGTAGAGATAGGCCTTCAAATGCAATGAGACGATCCGAGTAAGCTTTCAACACCCAATTGATGAAGTCTTGGTGGAATTAAATAAGGACAGAAAGAGTAATATTTTGCAATATGCCTCGGACATCTCTGTCGGCATGGAGCCGACAGGGTCCAGAGTTGGTTGGAGGAGATGATGCAACTTCTCCAACGCCCGCCCACTCCCGGTGTCGGAACGGCGCCGCGGCTAGTCCATCGATTGTGGGATACGGTTATCAAAACTGGAATCCGAGAGGGGCCTGGCCTGGCCTCGGAATCGGCTGCGGGGACAGAACAAGAGGCTTATCTCGCAGCAACTGATAGGACCCTGATTCGTTCTCTAGCCTCACCCATGTTTGTCACTTATCTCTCCATGAGGCAGATTATCGAGTTTTAGCATCATGCTGCGTTTTTGGAGTGATGTTTCGAAGAGGCTCTGACTGATATCTCCTGTCTCTGTGTGCCAATGTGGGAATGGCTACATGAATTCAAGCATGGTGCCGGGGAACTCGAGCAGGGTGCTCTCGGTCATCAACTTGTGAGAACCTCATAGGCTAATTGAAAGCCTCCCCCGCATTCTCCATGTTTTCTTTACGCAACAGCCTCCCCGGATTGCTTTGACCGGAAACCATTTTCAGTTAACACTGTCCATCAACTCCACATCCGGCACCTAGAGAAATCTGGACGCTGTAGTTTGCGTTATCATCCTATGGGGTGCAGTATCATTGTCCCACTCTTATTAGTGCCAGATATCATGATTCGTGTCATCGCCCCAGATAGTTATCTCGCCCTACCCGTTGCCACCCTTGCTCACGGGCCGTTCGTGTCTTGGCCCTCTAGGTACAAAAACTCACTACACCTGCCCAGGTGTCAGACATTCCGATTCAAGCATCCAACCCTTTTCAACTTCACACAATCATCCTACAAAGGCATCTTGGAACAATGTCCGATACCAAGGTTGCCACGGCCGAGGCCAAGATCGACACGGGCAAACATGACTTCCCTGACCCCAAGAAGCCCGGATCCATAACCGATGGGGAAATCCAGAACCTCGACGCCGCAGAAATCTTCCTACGCGAGCACAACTTTAGTGAAGAATACCTGCAAGAGTTGCTCGCGGACGAAGCGAAACAACGCAAACTCGTCCGCAAGGTCGATTTTATGCTCCTGCCGTTGCTTGCGGGCACATACGTTCTCCAATATATCGACAAGCAGGCCATGGGATACGCCGCAGTCTTTGATCTCTTCACCAGCGCCAACATCACGCAAACACAATACTCGTGGTTCGCCAGTATATTCTACATCGCTTATCTGGTTGCCGAGTACCCCTGGGTCTATGTTGCCCAGAAGACGAGAATGGGTAAAGTTGTGGCCGGGTGTGTCTTTACTTGGGGCGCGGTGTTGATGCTTACCGCTGTCTGCCATGACTTCCCTGGCCTGGCTGCGTGCCGGTTCTTCCTGGGATGGTTTGAGGCCCCTATTACCACCTGTTTTATGATGATGGTATCTCAGTGGTGAGTGCAAACATGGCTCAGTATAGTGTAGAATACTTGACTGACACTTCATAACCTCTTAGGTATCTGCGACAAGAACAGCCTCTGCGTGCCGGTATCTTCTACTGCTGCAATGGTGTTGGCTCTATGCTGGGTGGCATTTTCAGCTATGGAATCGGCCAGATCCATGGATTCCCCGTCTGGAAATGCATCTTCCTTATTTGCGGAGGCATGACTGTTATTTGGGGTGTGATTCTGTTCTTGTTCATGCCCGACAGTATCATGGAAGCCAAATACTTCACTCCCGAGGAGAAGGCGCTTCTGGTCGCCCGTGCTCGCCAGTCCCGGACAGGCGTTCTCAACAAGAAGATCAAGTGGTACCAGATCAAGGAGGCATTCATCGACCCCCAAGTCTGGATCCTTTTCCTGTTTATTCTCCTTAACGAAGTCATGAACGGCGGCATTGCCAACTTCGGAAAGCTCATTATCAAGGGCCTCGTCAAGGATCCTCTCCTCACTACTGCTCTGGGTATTCCGCAAGGAGCATTCTTGGCGGGCTTTATTGTTTTCGGGGCGTTCCTCGCTACAAAGATCAAGAACGCCCGTACGATCGTTATGGCCGTGTTCTTGATGCCCACAATCTTGGGTGTCTGCCTGGTTTGGAAGCTAGATAGAAGCAAGCATATGGTTGGTGTGCTCTTTGGGTACTATCTGATGACCGCATTCATTGCATCGCTGGTCCTCGCTTTGCAGATGCCTGCCACGAATCTGGGAGGGTACACCAAGCGAATCACAGCATCAGCTATCTGCTTCAGTGCGTACTGCGCAGGAAACATCATCGGCCCTCACGCTTTCTTGGAAGAGGAAGCTCCTCTTTACGCCACCGGCTGCAAAACCATCTTGTCCTGCTCCGTGATACAAATGGTGCTGGCTGTCTTACTTCGCCTCCTCCTCATCCGCCGAAATAAGCTGCGGGACCAGGCAGCCGCGGAACTGGGAGCAGAGCTGGGCCCAGAAGATGAAGAGGGTGTTGATCTGACCGATTTTGAGGTGAGTTTCTTGAGACACATGATACTAGAAATGAGTCGTCCCATAACTAACTTTTTCTCTAGAATCCCAAGTTCAGATATGTTCTTTAATTCGTGTCTGCGGGTTCTTCTTCGGATTTGAGATGATTGTTTTTACCCTCTGCTCAGCAAAGTCGTGAAGTATGCTTGCTCATGAATATAACTTAATAGATCTATTCACCTATAATTATCTAGTTTTGACGTGCCTATTTGTGAATGTTAAATTAGACCAAACCTACGTCAGCGCATTGGGTCTTAGGTTATAACCGCGATGTCATCGTTTCTGGATACTTGCCGGTATATTCAAGATTCTACATATGTACAGGGAGTACTAGCCTTTCCAAAGTCAGATTAAATATGCTATAACCCAACAAGAATATCGATATGGCACCGATGCACAGGGCCAATTATATCATTCTCTCCAACAAATTTAGCAGAATCAGCGACTCCACAGATGCCCTCCCCGAAGATTGACTGTTTGACGCGGTGTGCTTCCTCATCCTTATGCTGTTCCTCCAAAGAATGTATCAGGCCATGAATTCCAATCTGAGTTGTGGGGTGATACCTCCCAAGTGCCTTCTCACACCCTTCAAGACCTTGTCGATACAGCTTCTCTGCATGTTCATGCTTTCCTTGGCACATGAGCGTCGCTGCAAGACCATAAACGGATGAGATAGTGTGCGGATTCTCTGCGCCGAGGGCTCTCATTTTTCCGTCTACGGCACGATGGAGCGTCCTCTCGGACTCTTCAAGAATTCCGGCAAGGCGTAATGTTTCTCCAAGGCCATCGAGGCTCGTCAAAGTGTGAAAGTGATCCTTCCCGAGTACCTGTAAGAGAGTCACAAGCGTCTCGCGATGTCGTCGTTCTGCGTCCGCGAAATCTCCAAGTTTCAGAAACAAATTGGCGAGCGCAAAAGCGCTGCATAGAGTGTCCTTGTGTTCTCTGCCGAGCACTCTCTCCTTTACCTCAAGTACTAAACGAAGCGTCTGCTCGGCTTCGCCCAATTTCCCTTGAACATGGAAGAGTGTCCCGATATTTTCCATGGCTCTGACTGTCTCCAAATCATCTAGACCGAGTGACTGACCTCTTATTTCAATCACATTTCGTAGTAATGACTCGGCCTCCTTGAACCGTCCCTGATTGGACCTGTAATTTGCCAGACTGAGAGTTATGGTCGCTGCGTTGAGTTTATCTAATCTAGACCATATCTTGAGGGATATAACAGCCTGCAAGCAGTCGTCTAGCTTTTCGAAGAGTTGCCAACTGTCCCATACACCGCTAGAGTATTCTTGGGCCATTATGTAGAGCAGTCGGCCCTTCCAAAGTCCCTGTTCGCAGAGATAGAACAACCACATCTGAGTACAGAATCCGACGAAGGGAGCCAAAACTATGTGTTCACCACCGTCCGTCTCAGTAAGGATGTAATTTTCTTTCAAGAATGCAAGTTCTTGGTCTAAGTAGTGGATAACAGCTTCTTCGCTGAGATCTTGAAATTGGTTGAGTCGCTTCGCAAATGACACTAACACCAGCTTTGGTATGTTCCTTTGCGGCCCACTGAAGAAACTCATTAGATATAAAAGGTCAACGGCCTGGCTTCGTTGTTGTCGCAGAAGTTGAAAGTTTCTGTGCCATGCCTTGGGAAGACAGCCGCGTTTTTCGACCTTTCCATGCTTTTCCGGCCATAGATCTCGGAACTCTTCCATTTCGGACATCTCTGAGATCTTCAAGCCACGAAAATTGAGGACCTTGGCAGCTTGTGTAATAGATCGAGGCTCACAGCCCAGAGCATACACAAGGTCAGCCATGCGCGAAGGGTTATCCCCTAGTCCGGCATCAAGCTCGTTCCGTAGAAGCTGGAAACCTTGGTATATGTTCATGACTGGGACTTTGTATGTCGCATTGTAAAATTCCAGGTCACCGTCCAGCATTTCCAACAGCAGACAGCTAGGGTTCCGAGACGTGAAGATAATGGAGCCATTTGGACTGGTCGGTAGACACGACCGTCCAACACATCGAGAGTGGTTATTCTTCCTGCAATAGAAAACGTCCGTATTTTCGACGCTGTCCACTACCATGAGCCAGGTTCCATTTTCTGGTTGCGAAAGCCAGCTTGAAACCAAGGGCAGGGCGTCGATGTCGGGATCATCATGACTCGGAAGCTGGAGACGGCGAGCGATATCCCGAAATGCATTTTCGAAGTGTGATCTGTCACTAGCTTCAATCCAGAAAACAAAAGTGCTTGGAGAGCTTTTGAGAATTTGGTGGGCGTATTGAAGAGCAATTTGTGACTTTCTGATACGATTGTGAGTAAATAATAGACCCGGGAAATGAAGAACAGCAATTGATCAATTCTTACCCAACACCGGCAGGGCCAACGAGGGCTACCCGAGTTAAAGACCGTTCAAATTTCTGCCTCAACCATTTGATGATTTCCGGGCGCCCAACGAACTTAGCATCTGGGGGAGGAGGGAGTATTGAGAAGGCCTCAACGGGCTGATGATTTTGCAGTGGAAGATGGATCTCTTCAGCAGTGTTGTCGTTAGGTTTACCCCAAAACGGGCTGATCGTCTTGCCCTTTAAACTAACGCAATTAGAAATATTTGGTTCCATGCCGGATATATGGAGCTAGATTTAGCTGCAAAATTCGATGGTGTGGTTCTTGTAAATGGTATTGAAAGGCATACGTGGAATTTAAAGAGGTTTGCAACAGGGCCCCGTGACTGAATTGACTCGCGGCCTCGCTAATAGGCAATCATTTAGTTTGTTAAACTCATACACCTCAGGAATCCAACGATAACGAAGAAGTTTATTCGTCTAAGTGGGCTGTGTTTATGTGGATGCCTGGTAGAGCGAGATGGTGACGTGGACTTCGTACGCAGGCTTCTCTAACTGGGTTAGGCTTCTACTTGAGCCATTATTTAGTTTTGTACGTATGCCAGAATTCGCTATCGTTTGCATACTCTAATTCGAAATTTCCAGCTTGCCCATATTCTCCGGATAAGTCTACGACCGAGCTATATAGTTGCGATCAAGTTGCGATGAGATACTACCATGTGCTGGACGGTGGCAGTCATCCCGGCTAGTGATCTGACTTAACTAACCTTGGGCAGATTAGACCTGCCTATTGGGTAGGAAGTGGCGAGGAAAAAGGTACCTGGAGCCCTAATTAATCAGCGTTTTCTCCTCCGCGCCCAACAAGATGTCTCTTCGTCGTCTTACGCCCTTCAATTACATGACCAGGATACAATGGACGAAAAAATTGCCTAATAGAGTATCTACCTCAGTGATCCAGCAGCCGATCTGCGGGCCTCATCGAAGCCGTAGATATTGAACTTCATCTATATAGATTACAGCATTTGAGGGGTGTTGCCATCGACAAATCCCTCCGCTCGCAGATAGACCGCAATTGTCTCAGTACAACTTTCGATATCAGAAAGCCAATCATGAATTTCGGATCTGATAACTTTGCCGGTGCGCACCCGGATATCGCTGCCAACCTTTCTGCACACGCAACGGGATATGCCGTGCCCTACGGAACCTCCGATTTTGACCAGGCAGTACAGCAACGCCTGAGCGAGGTTTTTGAGCGCCCACTGGCAGCCTTCTATGTCGCGACAGGCACTGCTGCCAACTCGCTGGCGCTTACCTCAGTCGCGAAGCCCGGTGGTATGGTTCTAGCCCATCATGAGGCTCACATTATTGTGGATGAATGCGGTGCTCCCGAGTATCTCTCAGGTCAGCTACGGATGGTTCCTGTTGATGGACCGAATGGGAAGATGGACATTGCGGCCCTGCGTAGGCAGGCTGAGAGGATAGCTCGTCTGGATGTGCATGGGGGACGTCTCAGCGCCATTTCTGTCACGCAACCCACAGAGAGCGGAACTGTCTACTCCCTCGAGGAGCTGGATGCGATCTCTGCCATCGCCAAGCAGTATAATGTGCCTCTGCACATGGACGGAGCGCGGTTCGCTAACGGGCTCGTCTCCGTAGGGTGCCGGCCTGCTGAAATGACTTGGAGGAGGGGAGTTGATATTCTCTCCTTTGGCGGAACCAAGAACGGGTGCTGGTGCGCAGAAGCCGTTATTCTATTCGACCCTGCTAAAGCGCATGAGTTCTCCTTTATCCAGAAAAGGGCAGCGCAGCTGTTCTCCAAGTCACGATTCGTCTCCGCGCAATTCGAGGCCTACCTACGAGACGAGCTGTGGCTCAAGCTTGCGCTACATGCAAACCGGACTGCTGCTGACCTAGCGGCGGTGCTTGATCGGTCAGGATCTGCCCGCCTGCTAAGGAGGCCGCAAACCAACGAAGTCTTTGCAGTGCTGAAGAAGAGGCTGGTGGAGGAGCTGGAACTGGCACAAGTCGTGTTCTCTGAGTGGCCGGTATCACCAGATTTACGCTTGAGTAGCGATGAACAGCTCTGCCGGTTCGTGACTTCATTTGCAACAAAAGATGAAGACTTGACACGTTTTGGGAGTTTGATTAATTAATATCTGATTTGGTGCTAGAAGGTATAGATGATGGATTACCTGAATGAAACGTGCATTACTAGACTGAAGGTTTCGTGAAAGGCGCTGGAATCCAATTTACTCAAATTTTCCACCAAAAATAGGGAGAAAGAAAACTAAATGAAAGATGAAAGATACTGTGCCCCTAGTACTAGATGAATGTATTACTGACGGAAATAAGGGGAGAGACGAGTGTCGATTACAAGTTAGGAAGCGCCACATCAACACCTTTGTAGCGACTCGCTCCTAATGTTCCCAAGGTTCGAATTTTCTCGACAAAAAAAAAGGACTGGAATAATGCTGATATCCCTCAGGTGGTTCGAGGTGGGGTTTGCAAAGGTACCACGCTCGTTTGTAGGGTTATCTCGTGTTCTTACTCAGATGTAGCATGATAATCAACTTCGAGTTCCTTTTCAACTTGGGTTTGCATATTATTGGCCGGTATCGGATAATTCGGTTGTATCGGGTTTGTCCCGCTCCTCTTTCAGCCGTGAAAGGCCATGGGACTGTAACTGTTCTCGGGTTGCAGATATTTCGGCGTTCTCGCCAAGGCCCAACCTGCGTCCAGATTGCAAGTATCCTCCTGAACCCAATATTTCTCCTTATTGCTTCGGCTTTACTCTTTCTAGACGGTGCGAGGCAGGTGGTTCACTAATGGTCCCATATTCAATGCAACATGCAGCGCAGGGAGCAGAATACGGCATCGTTGCTTACCCGTGTGCAAACCGATCGTTGTAACCTCATAGCCGACTCAACTCCGGCTGTCACCTACCCAAGAGGTAATCATGAGCTATCCGTGGCTATCCTACTGAATATCAAAGCAGCCACGCTGATACGATTATCCTCGATATCTCTGTAGGGGTCCGATAACCAAGAAAGTCCCTTGTCTGCCAAGCACGAACAGATAACCCCTGTGAACCGGTGAGATAAAGTGTCTGGGATTATCAAAAGAGCAAACTACACATCTTCAAAAGATATTAACCACTGCCGAGGCTACCGTAGAAAACAACATAATAAACAGCCGACCAGTAGGCGAGATATTACCAAAAGAATTAATCGGCTGGAATCGATTCCCCAGTCTCTACATATTCAAGCCGGCACATCCGGATGCGGTTGAAAGGGAATTATTCTGATGTAAGTATTTTACGGATTTGAAAATGTCGTAAAGATTATCACGGCGGGGGTTCATATCTCTGTGAGGAATTTTGCAGAAAACTTGTGTGGCTCAAAGTAAGCGCGCGCGCTTTGCCTCACGTAATGTGATGCAAGCCATTCCTAACAAAGCTTCGTGCATTTGAAACACCACCGGGGTGATTCATGAATAAACTGAAGGTTATCGCTCGTTGCAAAGCTCAGGTCTTTCGGCAAGACGGGCCGTGCTGCGGCTGGATCCATGACTGATAGGGTTGATTTGGGCGTCATCAGAATGATAGATCCTTCAGTTGTTCGTCCCATCGCTCATGCAAGGGCACCATGTTACCGGTAGGGTCCCGGCCGGAAGTCTGCCGGACACAGGGGTTCCTGTAGAAGGAAACCCAAACGTAGGATTGGTTTAGACCAGTCTGAAGCAAGGATGGCTAGGTGTGGTCAATTTTAGCGAGATGTTGAGAGATAAGATAGGTAGTTGATGACGACCGGTCTGGTATTCTATTCGTAATGCACAGTAAGAACATACCTGGAGGGCGGTATCGGCTGATGCAAGCACAGGGAAAGTCTTCGTGCGAGAGCTCGTACATCGCTCCACTGTTGATTGCAACCGCAATATCGGTTCAAATTTATGTTTAGCTGAGAGGGAATGGATCACGATATAACGACAGTCAAAGTATAAAAAGGACGGGTTTTCTCACCCTTATTTGAGTTGCCAGTAAGCTAGTAACATCAAGCTTCTTACAATGCGTTTCAATAGGCTCCTGGCCCTGCCTTTGGTAGCTGGCTCGTTCGCGAACTCTTTTCATGTTCGAGATGAGGAAATACCAGTGCAAGATATCAATATCAATAAGCAGTTCATAATTCAGGTCGAGCCGGTAGGTCAGGTATCTACCTCTTCATGTTGGAATTATTACTCACGTAAATACTAGGGAACCGACTTGGAAGGTCTCAAGAAAGAATTGTCCTCAAAGAACCAAGTCAAGATCTTGAAGACCTTTGATTCTGACGTTTTTGCTGGTGTCACCATCGAATCTGATGGCTACAACGTGGATACCTTGAACAGCATCGATGCAGTCAAGCAGAGCTGGCCCGTGTCAAAGGTCGAGCTCCCTCCTTTGGAGGATCTCGCCGAGCTGGTCCAAGTCAACGAGGCATCGAACTATTCGATCCACTCCTGGACTGGTGTTGACAAGGCACACGAAGCGGGTATCCTCGGCAAGGGTGTGAAGGTCGCTATTGTTGACACAGGCATTGAATACAGCCACGACGCTGTGAGTTCTCGAGAGATCAGGATATGTAATCACTGGCTCACATATTATCAGCTCGGCGGCGGTTTTGGCGCCTCATACAAAGTTTCAGGAGGCTATGACTTAGTTGGTGACGGAAGTAAGTTATAATCGTATCGACTTGGAGATTTCATCGGCGCTGACGAAGGTATACGATAGATTGGCCGATTGGTGCCCTCGCTCCCGACGATGACCCCATGGATAAGCGAGGCCATGGCACTCACGTTGCGGGTATAGTAGGCGGGAAAACAGATTGGTGCATATTTAATCTTCTAATAATATGGCTCTATATTAACGCTATTTCAGGTTCACCGGCGTGGCACCCGAGGCGGAACTGCTCGCATACAAAGTATTCAGCACGGACGTAAGTCTTGTCTGATGCAGCACATTACCACCTCCCCTTGCTGACCTTACCATAGAGTAACACTTATGACAACATTCTTATTGAAGCATTTATTATGGCATACGAAGCTGGCGTGAGTATTCCAAGACCCCCGTCACTTGCCTCGGAGACTTACAACTAGGAAGGCCGATATTATCACTTGCAGTGTTGGCGCTGCAGGCGGCTGGTCCAATGGTCCTTGGGCAACAGTTGCATCAAACATTGCCGAAAAAGGTGTCATTGTGACGATTGCCGCATCGAATTCTGGATCTTATGGCCCATTCTATGCAAACTCCGGCTCGTCTGGCAAGGATGTCTTAGCTATTGCCTCGGCAAAGGCGGGAACGCTCGCCGCCTCACCGTTTGAGCTCAATTTGGCCTTGGATGGGAAGACAACAACTTCTCAGGTTGGATACCGCTACAATTATAACCCCTGGACGTTCAAGGGGATGAAGATATATCCCCTATATAACGACACCACGAGAGATAACCAGGCGTGTACGGCCAACGACATCCCAGAGAGTACCCCTGACCTGTCCAACGTCATTGTGTTGATTAAACGGGGGAAATGCGACTACCTTGAGCAAGAATTCAACCTGATATCACACAATGTGACCCAAATTATGTTCTACAACAATGAAAGCAGTCCTGATGATCCTATCTCGTGGCTTTCCCGTTCCAAGGCGTTGGTGGAGAAAGAGGTCGGAGAGGCAATTGTTGAGACAGTCAAGGCTGGCGGAGAAGCAACAGTTGACTTTCAGAAGTATGCCGATGCTAAATGGTACATGGGGTTGTATAACGGTGTCGGAAATCGACCTAGTTACTTCACCTCATGGGGCGGCCTGTTCGATATGGATCTTAAACCAGATGTCGCAGCTCCTGGCGGAGAGATTTTAAGTTCTTGGCTTGGCAACACCTGGCGTATCGCAAGCGGCACATCCATGGCCACCCCATATGCAGCTGGAGTAGCGGCATTGTATTTGAGCAAATTTGGTGGCCGAGCTACCCACGGAGCAGGAGTGTCGAAGACGTTCAACAACAAAGTAATCACCGGAGGCTCGTCAATGCCTTGGTCAATTGTTGACAAGACCTATCCAGACGATACCGGCTTCTGGGCTCCCACCATCCAAGCAGGAAGTGGACTGTTGAACGCATGGAAGCTACTGACTTACACCACCACATTAGGATCCTCAAAGTGGCTTCTCAACGACACGGAACATTTCACTGAGACGCACAGTGTCGAGATCACAAATAACGCAGACACTGAGGCTGAATATGAATTCAACTTGCAACCTGCAGCAGGTGTCCAGGCCGCACCCTCAAGTGGTGTGGGAGTGGCGCTGCTCAATCAGATCAAACCTGTGGAAATGGTTCCCAGCGTTAGCATGCCCTCGGGTACGTTCAAGGTGGGAGCTGGAGAAACGAAAACAGCCGAGTAAGTAGAGCACAGTTAGGTATACGACCAAGACCTAATTTACGTATAGGTTCATTTTCGATTATCCACGGGGACTAGACGAGAGCAAGCAACCTCTGTACAGTGGCAAGGTCCTGATCAGTTCCTCATTGGGCGAGCAGCTTTCCGTTCCCTATTTTGGGGCAGCTTATAGTTTAAGAGAGGCTTACAAGGATATCTTCATTGAGGGAACTCCTTATATGCGTTCACCCACTTATGATATTACTCAAAAGTCCAAGTAAGAGCGCCCGGGTTGACGAAAGGTTTGGGATTCTAATGCCCATTTTCGCAGTTTTACATTCGATGTGAGAATGGATGGTTCTACCAAGCAAGATTATCCGAAAGCTTATGCCTCCTTTGCGTTTGGATGCGACGAGCTTCGTTGGGATGTAAGGACAATATCCATATCTAGCCATGACTTCCACTCCCCGCTCAAACCTTTTCTTAACATTGAAGTGGTCCTTGCTAATACAGAGTCTCTAGATTTATGAGTCCGGTTGGAAAGAGTCGAGCTGGACCTATCCTCCTGTCGTTGGGGAGGGCGGCTACCTCGGTGCTGCAACCTCGTTCCGTGATTCCGGAATCAAAACGTATTTTGATCCGACGAAGGACGACAAAGAAAACACAGTTCCGTTCCCGATTAGAGCCACTCCGCGCAACATTATATCAGTTCCAGTCGCTGGCTATGATCAATATCGATTTTTCTGGCTAGGAAAGCTGGCAAATGGTTCATACATCAATCCTGGTAAATACACGTGAGTTTCGATCCCTGACCCAATAAACAATTCACCTCTGCGTCTTTAGATCGGATCAAGAGAAGCGATTAATAAGTGGATTTTCTAGTATGAGATTCGCCGCGCTGAGACCTTTGGGCGACAGGACGGTGTCGACTGACTGGGACATCTGGGACACACCGGAGATCACAGTTCTGCCACTGTCCGATTAGAGGGGAAAGAGACATGTCCCCTTCAATGATCAATCTTTATCCTCCACATGTTGCAAGTTGTAGACAACTTTTTGGATAAAGTCTTGGTCTTTCTGAGGAATTTTGAATTTACTTTAAACCTCTAATTTTTATCTTATGAAATATTCTGTATGTATGTTGATTGTAGGATAGCTATGGAAGAAGAGCTGTTGAGAAAACGCGGAACAAGACGCCTAGGGTGATCTTGTGGTACACCTCAAACGAAGAACGTCGCTTATGTTCTCATATCTTCAAACCTCAGATTAAGCAATACTATTCCTGCAATCGCACTAAATAAATATTGTTTCTATTGTACATAAATAATTATTTCTTAACTCCCGCTTTGCGATGGCTCCAAGTCATTGATACTTCCCGAAGCTGAATTACTTCTAGCTGTAAGCTCCAAATTACGACAAAATCTCACGTTGTATAGTTAACGAGAACACCTGTCATCATCGGTGATTTGAATCCTAGATAGATGTTACATTTCAGAGATTGGAGTGCTTTGCAAGGTTGAGCAGTATTAATAATCTGCCTCTGCCTTTGGATCGCTAATAAATTGGCTGCGTCATACTCGATGCTCTGGTAAATGTGGGGTTATCGAAAAAACACCAGAGTTTTTGTCCGCCTCACACCACCCAGAAACTCACCCATCTCTCACACCAAGCACTGGTGGAGGTTACAAGGGAAGTATGCCAAACTCAGCCAGCCGCCAGGCCTTGGCACTGCCCGAGATCCTGACACCGATCCTTGCCCTTGTGGACGACGACGACGACGGCTGCGGCACACTCGCAGCAGCAGCTCGAGTGAACACAGTGTGGTTCGGCTGTGCCACTGGACTTTTGTGGAAGAAAATCAGCGGCGCTGCCCTTGGCTGTGTCCCTGCTCAACGGAGACAAGTGTACGCTTCCAAGATTGAAGCTATAGTCTTTACGGCCGAGGATGGAGACCTGCACGAGCCATTTAGAGAGCTAGAGTTTGCTCTCCTGAGGGAGCTCACACTGCACACATATCATCCAGAGCCAAGAAAGGCAGCATTGTACCATCTCCGCCAGTATCTTCGTCCAAGACTAGACAAATTTTACTTCTTCGGCGGCGAGTTGGATCAAGAATTCATGTCATACGTGCAGAATACTTGCCGAGACCTTACAAGATTATGGATCGACCTGCCCGGGCGCAAGGTTACAGTGGATTCATTCTTCGACTTTGTTTCCGGATTCAAGTTCCTCGAAGAAATTCATCTCAAGCGTGGAGTTGATCATTTACTTTCGGATAAACTTCTCTACCACCTTGCGCGTTTACCGAACCTTCGAGAACTGGACATCGGCCACTATCTCTCCCCAAGGTTTCTCTCTCACATTTCACAGAAAATACCCGGCGCCTTTCCGGCTCTTGAAAGTCTCGGGGCCACAATAGATTCAGACTGTGTGCCTGCAATCACCTATACACTAAAGCATGTTACCAGTCTTGATCTCACGATCCTTGACGCTGAACTCGACGCCTTGGCGATCCTCGGGTCGACTCTAAGGCTACAGCAAATCAAGATTCTATATGATTGCAGTATCCAATTCACCGCAAGCCAATTACTAGCCCTCAAGCCTCTCCAAAACCTGGAAAATCTCACTATTCGGTCGACTCCCGGCGCAATCGAGGTCTCTCATCCCTCCGGCACTCTTTTCTGCGATGAAGACTTCCAGGAGCTTGTATCTGGGATGCCAAATTTGCGTTCTCTCGAACTAGAATGTATTGCCGACTTAGAGATTGGATCCCTCAATTCACTCTCTGTCAGTTGCCCGATGCTGGAAGAACTCGAACTGTTGTCGCCTTTCGATCTGCAGTCGTTCTTGACAAAGGCAGGGGACGAGCCTATCTTCCCTCATCTCAGGAGATTAGAGATAAGCGGCATCCCTGACCGAATCTTCAAGTCAATGGAGTGAGTCAAACTGTTTTTTTAATGTGAGGTAGTTAACAATTTAAACTGACCAGAACGTGTTAGTGATTTAGTTATGACAGCAACAAATCTGTTTACACAAATGGAACACCACTTTCCCGAACTAGAGACTTTATATCTAGGAAGAGACGATCCATTGGCGGAAATTATAACGGCAATGTTTTACGAGTCGGATGACGACGACGATGATGATGATGATGAGTCTGAAGCTGGGGAAGATGATATACCAGAGAAAGGGACATTTGAAGTAGTGACACGCGGCAAGTAGCCATATCCTTGCTGGAATGCAATCGTAAAGTAAGCATCTTACGGGTCATGACATTGAAGTTTAGCCATTTTGCTTATAAAAGGTCGTACGGTTGCCTCCAGAGAGCTCTCCTCTAAGGAGAATTAGTCCTCGTGCGTTTAGGATCAAATGAAACGAAAGCTTTCTATAATCGGCTCCAAGATTCCAAGCCCTATACACTTGGGTACGGTTATCTGCGCCATTCACCATAGGTGTTCATACACTCCGACAATGTCTCTATGATGATTAAACGAAGTAAACGCCAACTCCAACGGATTCAGCAACCAGCAAGTTGCAATATGAACGTCATCAGCTTCTATTCAGAGGTTTCTAAAGTTTTCTTCCAGTGCTACATATAAAAGAGTTCTAAAGGTTTCGGGTGGTTGGATCCCCTACACAGAGTTTTCGGTCGGACTCAACAAAACGTTGAGATATGCCTCCAGTGCCACGCTTGTAGGGAAATATGTGCCATCAGAAGCGCTGCTGGAGGAGTATGTATCGCGGAACTTCTATACATCATCCTTATATCAGGCGATGGCGATGGAATAATAGAAACTCTGGCGTATGATAGACCTACAGTAGCGATTGAGAACTAATGATTCGACTGATAACGATTTCTTCCACTTTTGTATCTTCAATAAAGCTACGCATATATTTTATAAGGATATTAACGCTATTCAGAGAAAATTATTTATCTTTCTGTGCTTTATCAGAAAAACAATTAAAAAGAGGGATACGGTGGCGTATAAGTTTGGCGAGACGAGGAGTTTGGTATGCCCCTACCCCAATTGGCTCACTAGATTTCTCGTTTCTCCGAGGCTCATATGTTCTTTTTTTGTAATTACCGGAGTACTTTCTGTGTACTTGCCAGAGGAGGCACGACTGCACAATTGACTTTCTCTCATACGGGAACCATGTGAGATGACGGCATTCACAGAGAGAGAGGACACGCCGATCAGGCACCGTTATACCCATTCTCCTTCCTTCGCTCCCCGATAGTACTCCGAGTAACATCCCCATATGACCATACGCGTGTCGGTGCCGGTGGATGAATATGTAATAGGCTCAACTCATACGTGTGGGTTGCTACAGTTCCCGTACTAGATCCGCCGTCGGGACAGCTGGAAGCTCAAAGCTATGTCTCTCTAGCTGGGCGACACCAGTCATGGCTACTTTGTGACATCTCAGAACTTTGTTTGGGAGGCAGCCGGACTCAACGGGCCATTCTTCATCAATGACGAGATCCCGACGCAACCGAAAGTCTAGAAGTGGCCTCTGACCAAACACCAAACTCTTCCCCCCTCCATTCGCGGATGCTCGGCACCACTGTGCGATAGGCATCACAAGGCACTTCTCTCCCAATTTCCCTCATGCCCGCCCTCCAATCCGTCGTAATCGGAGACGTCCGTCTGGGAGGGTGGGCGGAGACGCGAGGAGACGCGAGCTCAGTTACAGCTGATGTTGATAACCTTTGCCCAATTTAGCTCCCTCGACGCAAATCCCTCGCTCTATAATATGATTATGATAAATATTTTCCCTCATGCCTGCCTACTCTGTGCTTTGATGTCTTTACTGTCCATGTGTGTCTTGATACTGTGATCCTTGAGGCTGCCTAGAAGACACTACTGCCACTCCTACCTGTAGTTCTCACCTGCATTTCCACCGGTCGTGCCCTCGCCATGAGCCACCTTTTCCACCGCAAGAAGAACGGCGGCTCCTCCTCATCGGCTACGCAAGATGTCGAGGCCGGTGCGGCGGATGCGCCGGTCCCCGGTGCCCAGATTGGCCACGAGGACACCGGTGAGAAGCTGAGCGAGTACAGCGCCCTGGATCGCTACATCTCCAACTACCGCGACGACCGCAGCCGCGCAGACGAAGAAGAAGACGAAAGCCAAAAGAAACGGCCGAAATGGTGGCAGTTTTGGAAGTCGTCGAGCAAGCCGGCCCAATACAACGAGCCCACCCCGCCAAAGGTCCCAGAGGAATGGCTTGATGAAGATATCCAGACCGGCATCTCCTCGTCAATGGTCGCGGAGCGGAGAAAGTTGACTGGTTGGAACGAGCTGACGGCTGAGAAGGAGAATATCTTTGTCAAGGTTTTGAGCTACTTTAGGGGCCCGATCTTATATGGTAAGCGGTCCATTGTTCGTTTCGTCATTCGTTTACATTCATTTTGAGTAATTGAGTGCATCGAGGTAGAGGGAAGAATGCTAATTGGTAATAGTCATGGAGATTGCTGCGCTACTGGCACTCGGCTTGAGCGACTGGATTGATTTCGGTGTCATCGTGGGAATCCTGCTGCTCAACGCCTTTGTCGGCTTCTACCAGGAGAAGCAGGCGGCGGATGTCGTCGCGAGTCTCAAAGGCGATATTGCGATGCGCTGCCAGGTCATACGAGATGGTCGGATGCAAGAGATTCTCGCGCGGGAACTAGTCCCAGGAGATGTCGTAAGTTTATAGCCATCATTCCCTTTCCTACTCCAACCCTATGCGAGTTTAGCAGCGGCTGATAGCGTACGTAATGGTAGTTCCTCGTCCAAGAAGGCGACACTGTAGCAGCTGATGCGCGCCTCATCTGCGACTATAACAAGCCCGAGGATCAGGAAATATACAGACGTCTGCGGGCAGAGGATAAGCTCGGCCATGAAGATGAAGAGTCGGAGAAAGACGACGAAGGTGATCAACAGCGCCGAGGGTCAACTTACGATCAGCAACGCCGCGGATCAGTCTACGACTACCGGATGCACTCCATCGTCGCCGTTGATCAGTCCGCCATCACTGGCGAGTCTCTGGCAGTCGACAAGTATCTGGGCGAGCTCGTCTACTACACCACAGGATGCAAGCGTGGTAGAGCCTACGCCGTCGTGGTCGCAACAGCCAAGGACTCGTTTGTCGGTCGCACTGCGGATCTTGTTCAAGGTGCAAAAGACCAGGGCCACTTCAAGGCTGTCATGGACAACATCGGAACATCTTTGCTGGTCTTAGTCTTGTTTTGGATCCTCGCGGCATGGATCGGAGGTTTCTTCCGCAACATTGGTATCACGGAACCAGGCTCGCAGAATCTTCTCCATTACGCTTTGATCCTGCTCATCATCGGTGTGCCTGTCGGTCTACCTGTCGTGACCACTACCACCCTTGCCGTTGGAGCTGCGTATCTCGCCAAGCAGCGGGCAATTGTGCAGAAACTCACTGCCATTGAATCATTGGCTGTAAGCCTCGACTTCTCCTTTCTCTCTCCAAGTACTTCCGGGCTATATAAAGCTAACTCTATCGACCGCAGGGCGTGGACATTCTTTGCTCTGACAAGACTGGCACATTGACTGCAAATAAACTCAGCATTCGCGAGCCGTATGTGTCTCCAGGTCAGGATGTCAACTGGATGATGGCTGTGGCTGCACTGGCATCATCTCACAATCTCAAATCCCTCGATCCCATAGACAAAGTCACGATCCTCACTCTCAAACGGTACCCCCAAGCCCGTGAGATCATGCAGCAGGGCTGGATCACTCAGAAGTTCACCCCCTTTGACCCCGTCTCCAAGAGGATCACGACTGAGTGTCGGCTGGGAAATGACACCTTTATCTGCGCCAAGGGAGCCCCTAGAGCCATCCTCAAATTGTCCAATTGCACCGAGCAGCAAGCAACCGAGTACAACATGGAAGCCAAGGACTTTGCGCGGCGTGGCTTCCGATCTCTGGGTGTCGCATACAAGAAGAATGACGGGGACTGGATTCTTCTAGGTCTACTCTCCATGTTTGACCCGCCACGAGAGGACACGGCACAGACGATTCTTGAAGCAGCCCAGCTTGGGGTCCCGGTGAAGATGCTAACTGGTGATGCTATTGCCATTGCCAAGGAGACCTGTAAGATGCTCTCCCTCGGCACCAAAGTGTACAACTCCGAGCGACTCATCCACGGTGGACTTTCTGGAAGTGTTCAGCATGATTTTGTCGAACGCGCAGATGGCTTCGCCGAAGTTTACCCCGAGCACAAGTACAAGGTCGTCGAGATGCTGCAGCAACGAGGTCACCTAACAGCCATGACAGGCGACGGCGTGAATGACGCCCCATCCCTCAAGAAGGCTGACTGCGGTATTGCCGTCGAGGGCTCCTCAGAAGCCGCGCAGGCAGCTGCCGACATTGTCTTCCTTGCGCCAGGTCTGAGCACCATTGTCCTGGCCATCAAGACAGCACGACAGATTTTCCAGCGGATGAAGGCCTATGTCCAGTATCGTATTGCTCTCTGTCTCCATCTTGAGATCTATCTCACTCTGTCGATGATCATTATCAACGAAACCGTGCGGGCAGACCTGATCGTCTTCCTCGCGTTGTTCGCCGATCTTGCTACCGTTGCCGTCGCCTATGATAACGCCCACTGGGAACCTCGCCCCGTGGAGTGGCAGCTGCCCAAGATCTGGATCATGAGCATCATCCTCGGCATCCTCCTGGCCGCGGGCACTTGGATCATCCGTGGAACCTTGTTCCTCACTAACGGCGGAATCGTTCAAAACTTTGGCTCCGTCCAGGAGATCCTCTTCCTCGAGATTGCCCTCACAGAGAACTGGCTAATCTTCGTCACCAGGGGCGCTAGGACATGGCCCTCATGGCAACTCGTCGGCGCCATCTTCGGTGTCGACGTCATCGCCACCCTCTTCTGTTTATTCGGCTGGCTGTCCGGCCGTCCCGAGCCGACCTCTCCTCCCGACAGCTGGGTCCAGAGACAAGACGGCTGGACCGACATTGTGACTGTTGTCAAGGTGTGGCTCTACTCCTTCGGCGTGACGGTCTTCATCGCCATCATCTACTTTATCCTAAACAAGCTTTCTTGGTTGGATAACCTGGGACGTAAGAATCGCAGCAAGAAGGATACCATGGTTGAAAATGTCCTCGGCCATTTGCAAAAGCTTGCAATTGAACATGAGCATGATATCAAGACGGGCAAGAACAGATTCATTCTCATGGAGAAGGCTAACGATAGTGACGACGACATCTGAGGAGGTCTGTTCCCAAATGATGTTCTCTAGTATTCTCTTGCCAAGCGCTCGCAGAGCTTGATTCTTGTATGAAGTTTTAACAAAAAGGTTTCTTGTATTTCACAACAACTCGTTGTACTGACCTTACCTCGTTAAATTTAGTAGTAACTCAATATTAATTATTAAATAGACTGGCTATTATCATCTCTCTGATGCTTGCTGTGGACCCAAGTCGAGTAGGTTGAGATCTTGGAAATGTCGAATACTGAATCAATCCTCAAGTATCCAATAATCCTATGCTTCGGATATCGGAAAGAGATGTTAGAAGCCTAGCGACAGTCTGTCTTCCGTGGATGGAGACATCAGCCAGCTTATACAATCAAGGGTCAAACATTATGATTCAGTGCCAAGGAGTTTTCTGATATCGAGATGAAACCCCCGCCACGTATTAATCCTGGCCGGATTCAAGCCCCAGAAGTCTTCCTTGTCGATATCAACTATCTGAATATTACTGAATAGACTTAAACATTGCTCTCACCATAATGGCAATGCCCTAGATTTATAAACTAAAGATAGAGGTTAGCTCACACTGCCCGCAAAGTTGGACGAGCTAAGTGTCTAGCCCATAAGCAGCCTTGGATGATATTCAAGTGATGCTACACTGATCTAAAAAGACCAAACATGGAGACTTCGGGATTAGGTCTACCGTGACCGAGTAACAGCAGCAAAATTCGTTACTCGAAGCCCCAATCTCTTCAAATTCCTCCCATCTAAATATCAGTGACGCTTTCTTCAGTAGCCCGCCTTCGAGTTACGCAATGTCTCTACTCAAAAAGTAGCTCTTATGTCATTCTATTTGCCACTGCACAATTGTCTGTCATCTCGCCTTATCGCTATTATCTACATGTATAGCACTAAGGAAATATACTTACGCAAGTGACGTGAGCGGGTTTTCCATGTGGAGGGGATATTAGACCACAAGGAACCGACTGCTTCCGAGTAAGGTAGCACTGTTACTGGAGCATGTACGCCCTTATCTAACTACGTTATGATATCCTCGGCTTAGGCCACAACTGAAAGGACTCCTCGGCCCCTCGTATGTCAGTTTCTCGCGCACTCCTGTAGGTAATAATCGTGCTCCGCCCCAGCTTCTCCGCAAATCCACCCAAGCGGGATTCTCTGGCACTCAGCGCGGGCTGCGAGGCTCCTTCGGGGCCGCAACTTCAAATACAGCGCAACAAGACCACAAGAAAAATCGATTTGAAGCTGCAAATAGCCAATTCAAGTTAACTGATTGCGGAAAAGTATCAAAAGGGCACATTGTTGTTCTATTCCAAACCCTATCAAAGTAAATATTCACCGCTTGTTATCCAATCCCTGCCTAAGAGTTACCAACCCCTGCTTCACTGGAGAACCCTCATCATCATTATCAAGACTTCCGGGATTAATATGGAGTCCAAGCGAGTTGATGTGGATCTAAAGATAATGCTGGGATCCATCACTTCTAAGTTAAACCTGTTAAGCTTATCTTAAGTAGAATCGGAGAGTGTCAAAGCGTAGTGTTCGGACGCCAAGGACCGAAGATCGTGGTCAACACCAGCATTGACCATTAGCAATGGAAAACACCAGGCTACTTGTGATGTGGACCTAAACCCCACCAGATAAGAGGCAGTGACATCTATAAAAATGCAAATTAATCTGTGCCGATCAAATTACCTCAATTCGCTGGTTCCCTCCTACAAAAGACTCGTTGAGTTGAAGACTAATATGATAGCTTCGCAGCTTTCTAACATGCGCTATCTACTTAGTGCTGTCTCCCTTGTGGCAGGGACGGTTTTACTTTCAGAGGCAAAGGCCACGAAACCATCAGTGACATTCATTTCCCCCGTGGAAATCAGCTCTAGGAGTGCCCATAATGTCATCGTTGAGTATGGTGGCGATGTTGACGGCGAGCTGACGATTACTTACGGCTCATGTGATAATGTAGCCATCTCCGATGCAAAGCAACGGCTTGGTACAACTCATGTTGGCAATCATCCTTTATCCGCTCGTCATATAGAGCATGAAGATAGACGGCCAACCAAGTTTGTTTGGTTGACACCTTCCGATATGTCGGACGGATGTCTACACGCGTTCCTGGATGATAAGCTGGTTGGCCAATCGGAAGAGCTCCGGACTTACGATCATATGGCTCGGCGCAGTGAGAGAAAAACATTTGCGGATGTAGCTGGGGATGATAGCATGTGGTTCGATGGTGTGGCATACTTGGAGCAGAAACAGCCCGACGAGGCCTTTGTCGCTGCTGCCAAGAATAAATCGTTTGGTATTCTTGGTGGTGGAATATCAGGACTCGCATCCTCTGTGAGCTCCTCTTTTCCTCTTTATTGTCCTGGCCGAAATTAACTCGTGTTCGCCTAGTTGATGCTAGACTCGGTTGGCATTCATAATTGGAAGATTCTTGAATCCTCTGAACGTGTCGGTGGCCGTATTAGGACTGTTTACCTGAACGGTAGCTCCCCCGAGGACGGCCAGTACCATGAACTCGGACCGATGCGATTCCCAGTCGAAATTACTGATTCCGAGACAAACGAGACTTTCCCTATCATGGACCAGCGTATGGTTTTTCAATTAGCCGATGTTATGAATGAGCTGAACGCTGGAAATGAGACGTTGCAAGTCAAATTCTGGGAATGGATCCAGAGCTCTCCGAATACGCCTGCCGATACTCCCTTCCGTCGCCCTGATGGAACGATTCCTAGCAAGACGGAGGTAGCGAAAGACCCAGCATACTACAATCCGACGGTATACAATAATGCCACAGCTGCTGAAGAGGCAATTCAAGCACTTGACGACTTCAAGGGTCTAACTCCCGAGCGCATTCGAATGTATGCCACGAACATATTCGCAGCTTACAAGCAAGCCAAAGAAGATGGCATGTTCGATTACTCCGAGGTATCTTACCTTCGACATGTTATGAAAACTGACCTCAACACCACTGATGAGGTCACGCCATCTCAAAACTATTGGCCCATGTGGGAGTATGAGACGGTATATTTCCTTGCAAGCAAATGGGTCACAATCCAAGGCGGCCTTAGTCGGCTACCGGCTGCTTTTGAACCACATATCAAAGATAGGGTACAGTATGGTGCCAAAGTCAACGGCTTACACTATAACAAGGATAACGATACCCTTTCGGTGACATGGAGGTCTACAGGATCTGAACCTTTCTCAACTCCCAACAAGGTCACCAACTTTGACTATGTTCTCAACAGTGTCCCGCTCAACTTAATGAAGTTTTGGAACATGCCGCCATACTCAAGTCTTCTGAAGCGAAGCATTGATAGAACTATCTATGCCAACGCCTGCAAGGTTGCAGTCCAGTTCAAGACACGGTTCTGGGAGCATTTGGAGAGGCCTGTTCTTGGGGGCTGCACTCGCCTCTACAGCCCACAACTAGGACAAGTCTGTTACCCGTCGTGGCATCTTAATGCAACAGGTCCTGGAACCATGCTAGCATCTTACCTGTCCGACTACGAAGCTACCGTTGCCTGCGCCATGTCCGAAGAGGAGCATATGGCCTACATCAAGAGAGCTTTCAGCGAAATCCACGGCAGTGAAATAGTGGAGGAAAACTGGACAGGGAACTATGCCCGTCAGTGCTGGGAACAGGATGAGCACCACGCCGGCGCCTTCACGATGCAGATTTTCTCTCAACAGCACTTGTATTTGCCTGCCTTCTACCGGACCGAGTTCAAGACGGTGTTTATTGGGGAGGCTGCAACGTTTACTCATACCTGGCTCTTTAGCGCTCTGGAAAGTGCTACCAGAGGCACAGTCCAATTATTGTTAGACATGGGGCTCGTAGATGAGGCCAAACAGATTACGAACACATGGATGGCGCGGTGGATAGATCTGTAGAAGGCGAGTGATTCACTTGCCTGGAGAATCTGGTGCTTATCAAGGCCAATAATGTGCCGTGGCTCATAGTAGCGATTATGAAGTCGTCCAGTATCATTTCTCTAAGACTCTAGTCGTTGTCCCCAATTGTCCTCAGGTACCCCTAAAGCTTTATTTCTTCGCATTTCTCCACGTGAAAATGACAAATACATGAGAATGGCAGTGAGTATCTTATAATCTCCCATACTTTGATTCCAGATTTATAACACCCACACAAATATTTTGAGGTTCAAATTCTTTCTTCAGGGCAGCAAAAATTAACTGGGCCTGGCGGGATATGGCTAATAAAAGCCTTTCAAATCCATTAACTTAATAAGGGGTTCTCATCGATCTGAAATGTTTTTTTTTTTAGATGAGTCCACTCAGTAAAATGTCTCAACCAGCCCGGGGTTATGGCATGCTGCGCTATGAGCATGTTTTCGGTATGATCGTCGCATCGCATCATTTGAACGCAAAATCTCGCGATAACGTTACAAGCCGGTCTCGCAGTCAACTTCAATGTGTGTAGATGCCGTGCTCTTGTTCAAACAATATCAATATTTTCACATCACCTTCTCTCAAAACATTTCTCATCTTAGATGCTGGCTTGATGGAAACAATCTGGCAAATTCCTTTACGACAGTCTTTAGGCTGCCCCCTCGCTCTAGTCACAAAATCATAGATAGTTCCTAAGGTTAAATGGCTTTTTAGAGGGTGAACAACATCTAGAAACATTCATAGTCCGGTCTAGGAAGATCGTTTGATAAGCATAATGAAACCTCAAGGGTCTTTCTACCCACCCAACGCAATATGATGGAGTGAAGATGTGACAAAACTGGGTCTCTGATGTGCCGAGATCCCGAATACCAAGAACATAGAATAAGTGATGATGAAAGTAATAAGACTTTGGTTACATACTGTGAGCCTTCGCACCGCGCCATGCTTATAATTCAACGCATCGGACTCATCGTCTTTCAACATCATGCCAAGTACATCCAGCTAATTGCCCACTCACGATAGAAGAAACCCTTCGTCATGTCAGTTCAACTAGGTGTGCAGGGGGTGACCCTGATATCTCAGGGCAC